GTATCAGTTTGTGTATATTATTAATTATCTTCCCAGGTAGAAAACACTATTTAATGCATAATTCAAAATATGCTGGTATCTTAATTTTGCAACCCTCATTTTAAATTAGCTTTTTTCATTTTCTCTCACACAAAATTAAAAAATAAATAAAAGTGACATTTCTACTGCAGCGACTATATATACTAAAAGTGTTTTCTAATATTCACTCAGATGGTAGAACTTCCCTATAATTTAAGATAATTTATCAATATTTCACCAAAATGATAAAAAATATATACATATACTAGCCTTCTTGCTTCCATTTTGTCCAAATGTAATTTATTTAAGACAGTTAATCAATATTTCACCAAAATGATATAAAATATATACATATAGCCTCCTTGCTTCCATTTTGACCATATGTAACTACCTACAGCATTTGGTGAGAATATTATGCTACTGACTCTAGCGTATAATCTGGACAGCATTGGGAATAAGTAATTACTATCTGCATCTCAGTGTGTAACAAAGGCAATCTGCATCCAGTAGCATATATGAAGTGGAAACCATATTGACAAGTTACTGACACATATTGGCATATTTCTCCATATTACTAAGTCACGTATGACTGAAGTACTCAGATATTGAGGTGCTTTGACTGAATGGTAGTTTCTTTCTTTTTTTAACTCATTCTCATGTTTCTTACTTTTATTAGATTCTTATAAAATATGAGAAATGTCTTCAAACCTTATGCACCTGATATATACAAAAAGATGTAGAACATTCTGACTTGTTACCAACATAATCATATAATCACCAAATTTCTATATATTTCTATTTGATGCCATTAGGAGGCCTCTTAATCCATTCATGAATCTGTCTACATTAACAACAGTCCTCATGTAGACAGTTTGCTGTAGCTAGGCCGAAAATATTCATCCTGACTTGGCCCACAGTCCATGTTCACCAAGTCATCAAGATGTGACAGAAGTAGGACAGTACGCTTAAAACATTCACAGTAGCTGTTCAATCTAGAGAGACAATACTGGAGGCACTGTACCAGATGTTTGCCTTTACTACTACTACTACTACTACACTAGCAGCCAGCACTGCTGTCCAGGTAGATTTACGTACTAAACAGGTAGATATACCTGATTACACACCTGTCACCTCAGTACACCAGATGGTGACACAACTGCTACTACCAGAACCAATACATTATACTGTACATGCCATGTGTCTCTCATGTTGATGAAGATAAAGCCCGTGGTTTTTATATACATCTTTAAACCCAAGTGATGACTTGGTTAATTCATCTTACCCAGCTCTTTACCTTGATGTACATGTTATACAGGCCTACCCAACTACCAGACTCGGCACCCAAATGATCCTGAATTCACCGGTAGATCAGACCACACTACCCGTTTTCAAGGTGTGTGTCAGATCGCATTACACAGTATCAGACATACTCTTGCCTAGTACGCGATGTGATAGTGACGCTTCTCAGCAGGGATGAAAAGCATTGCATCACCACTCAAAATTTGTTCAGGGTATTAAATATATCAAAAATAAAAATGTCCTTCCGTAACACTATTTTATAAGTTTTCCAGATAAAAGTGTCAATAAAATCATAATCAATCATCAAAACCTAAAATTTCTTTTGGATTCTGGTGTCTTATGGTGTCTGGTTTCAGAAATTATAAGTTTTATAAGTAGGATTCCTTTTTTAAATTTTGAGGTCTGCGGACCAAATACCACGGAATGGCCCTTATATCCAGTCACATGTGACCATCCGGTGTGAGCCTGAAATGGCCTTAAACAATGTCTTTACAACTGTCTGTGTGCATGTGTTCCTGAGTGAGTATGCTTGCATGTGCGTATGTCCTGTATGTGAACTGCATATACACAGGAATAGCAAAGTTAGATTTCATCAATGAAATAAAATTCAACTCTGTACAATAAACCATGTATTTCTATGATATGCTATTATATCCAAATGTCAAACAGCACAAAGAAAGTTACTGGTCCTAGGTAATAAATGCTCATGTTGTGGTGCTACAAAAGGGGAGGATGTAAACAGAGAGATTTACTGTGACTTATGTCCACTGCAATGATAAAAGACTCAACAACAAGCAAAGGAAATAGAACAATAGTCCAATGTTTTTACTATATGATCAACATCATTATGGCCAATATGTTTTCTGTCATGTTCCAATATGTATGAAGAGCAATCAATAATAAGTGCAGAGTCCATCTGTTAATCTGTCTCTCCCCCCACTACTGTACCTGACTAGTATATAATATAGTATATACATACAGTACAGTTAGCTAATGGTCACTGTAGAGGCTACATTTTGCCATTTCTCTGCAACCTCGGTAAAACAACACAAAGAGAGATAGGCTACATTCAAGATATAAAAAGATTCCCACTCAGTTACCTTTTTTTTTACTTTTGTGCTATATCACAAAACCTGTATCCAACCTTATTTGTTCTCACTGCCAGAGCGAATATCTATAATGAAACAAATTTATACACTACTAAGCAATACTGATTTCCTAGTTATCTGATCTTTTTGATCAAATTCCTCTTTTATATATACTTTCTTTTTCAATGTGCTAAACCCTGTAATATTTCCAGTGCATAGACCTCTATTTTCTAGTATTCTGCAATAATCACACTGTCCCCAGATGGCATAGCTATCACCTAGGCAACATATGACTGACACATGTCACTCATGTCCTGATGCAGGATTCCTGTGTTGCTGTGAGGTATTTTGTTCTCCAGGTGTTCATGACCTACCTGTAAGGTGAGAGACATTATCTACCTGAGGACACTGTAATGAGACTTGAAATCACTTCCAAGAAGATCTCACTATTTCATGGAAGTATGCCTGTGAGAGCTAGTGTGCAAGCATGCATACATGTAACATGGGCCTTATAATTCTGTCAATTTGATTGCAATCATTTTGTGTTCACCCCTTGCTATCTGTAAAACAGCACAAACTTAAAGAGAGATAGGTGCTATCCAAGATATTAAAAATTGCGATTCACTTACAATTTTTTAAACTTTTGCAGTATATCACAAAACTTGTATTCAATGTAATATGTTACCATCACATGTTGGGGATGTCAGTGACATAACAGGGATGTCAGTGATGTTGATGACTGTTCACATGACAGGGATGTCAGTGACAGACATGACAGGGATGTCAGTGACAGACATGACAGGGATTCAAGTGACTTGGTTGGGTTGTCAGTGATGACAAAAGATGTATGTATCATGTCATATAAAGAGATGTCAGTAATGTCAATGATGTGATGGACATGTCAATGCTACATTACAAGGATGTCAGTGACGTGATGGACATGTCAATGCTACATTACAAGGATGTCAGTGATGTGATAGGCATATATCTATAACTACTCCAGTGTCATCAGAATATATATATGAGGAATATTTGAGAGGTGAAAAGCAACTGTTTGTTTATGTCCACAATTAACTGAAAAAAACTGATCAAAATCCAATGATGCCACAGCAGGTTGGTTTATTATCAATATACAATGGTTCCAAAAGTGAAGACCGATGATTTGGGTTGTGCTGTGTTCTAGTGCTTTGCCCTTAAAAACATATAAAATACTGAGGAATTCATGCCCAGATTTATTGGCCACCCTAATTGAACATCCTTGTGTTACAGTCTTGTGGGGGAAATTTACACACACTGCCACCCAAGGTGAGACACAGTGAAATATGTAACCTGTGAAAGGATGCATAGAAAGTGGGCTTCAGATCTACAACAATATTCTCAACTGTTAGCAGGTCAAAGTTCTCATTTCTACTGTTGTGTGAGTCACACTGTGCTGTTATAATATATCCTTTTGTGCTGAAAAGAAACAGGAAATGGACAATTTATCCCTTTCAAGAATTAGGTCACACTTTCTGCATGGCATGTTTACTCCAGTTCCTGTCTACATCAAACTGTGTACATTCTGACAGGGGGCACTTGCTGGGGATAACTTCAACATCCACCCTGGGGTCTGTGTATATGAGAATGTGAAGGATTGCAATTGCTTTGCTTAGTGCATCTTTAACTTTTAATATGAAATGCCACATTAAGTCAATATTTAATTCAAATATTCCATATTAAAACGTAACAAAAATTAGATGAAGTTAAATTATTCCATACGAACCGTCTGTCATAGCAGACTGTGCTGGTTAACACATTAACTAGTGAGGAATACCCCAGAAAATTAGACAAAAATTTACTACTTGCGATTAAAACACCCTGATATTGTTACAAAACTGGTCCTTTTATTTAGTCTCACTGACATTAAGAAAGCTATCACCGGCCTGCAACCAGCGATGAGTATATAGCTATAATGTACCCACAGTTATCGTTGCTCTTTGTTCCTTGCTATCAGACTTTCCCATTGATTCCATATCATGGTACATTGTACAACAGCTGCCGACACAACAAGGTGGCTCGCACTACACAGTCTTATGAAAAATATCAGTAAATTCCTTACCTTTCCGGCGGCTCTGCCCAGCCGTACGATGCCTAGTTTAAAGCCTGACATTTGTCCCTCTCCTCTCGTACTCTCAGTTCAGGCAAACACACCCTGTTCACAGTTCTAGCCGCGTCTGATCTTCGTATTCATCGATCATCGAGCATTTGCAATCAGCACACAATGGCGGCAGCTGAGTGACACGTGCGCGGTGAGGACCAATCAGAGCCCAGGATTAACGTCAGTGCGGAAAATATAAACAAATGTGTTCTATTGTGTCCAAGCATCTGAATCAGGTCCAGCGGACAAAGGCTTTTGTGTTGATTGATAATCGGATAACCGTTCACAGTTCCTTGACAGATCAAGAAGCCATTGCAGCTGAAGTGGGGTTTCACTTTCATGCTGAAGCCAACGTCGTGTTTGTCAAACCATTTCCTGTTTCCTTTAGTCTAAGTTAGGAGCTAGGCTTGACACCCCCCTCTTTCCCATTTCTCCCCCCCCCCCAGCGCCAGCTGTAATGCGTTTCATTTTCTTAATATTACAAACCATGTAGGTGAAGTTTACCGCCAGTTATTGTTAGTACAAAGAGGCCAATAATAAAAATAATAATAAAAATGATAATTAATTATTTTAGCTCATTTCACTAAAATGAGCCCAAATTGAAATTATTAAAACATTGAAAGAAAATAACACAAGTTCACAAAAAGGAGTACAAACAAAAACCATTATTAAAGCAGCATAATTCCTTCAAATTGATATTAAAAATATTCACACTGTAAGAAACCTTTAAATTATATTATTTCTCCCACTCAACNCTCTCCTCCTCACTACATGTAGCTGCACAGAGGCACTTCTTTTCCTGTTAGGGTTAGTTGCAGTATTGGGGTTGGTGTACAGTGTATAGGACGGATGTCACCTGTACAAAGTAATGGGTAGCGGACTACGGTTCCTAGCGTACTTCCATTCCTTTACCGCGCGTTGAGACTCCCCTGGTAGCTAAAGAATCCTCACAAAAGTTTACGAAGTCGAAGAAGAGGCAATAATTTTATAAGAGACTGCTAGCGTCTCTGTGGTCACAGAGTGGCGGTCGTGGTCTCTGCACTAGGGCCTACGTACTAAATTATATTGACCAGTGGAAAATATATAGAATGATATTATTATATGCTTTAAATTGCCGCCCCCACGCTCATTGACACACATGATACTCTCTCTCTGACCACAGGGGTCGCCAGTGGTCTCTTACAAACATAGCTGTCGAATATTCATGTTTGTAATTTATACCATAGAGACCTCTGTGATATGAGGGGGGAGGGGCATTACATGGCACTCTCTATAGGAACCCTGCCGTGAATATATAACACTTAAACGAACCAGCTGAGTGCATAAATCTTCGCTATACGTATCTCTAATTTTATAATCTAACTTTATAATTACCTTCGCCAAGAACGCCATGCCTTTACTTCCGTTTGTCTGTTTATTTGTCACCAACATATGCGAAGAGCTACCCAAGGCTTTTGATGGAATTTTCAGGATAGGTCAGAAATGGGCTAGATTTAGGCACGTGGTTATTAATTAATTAATTGATTACATTATTAATATATTAATGATTAGGATAGATTTTGGTGATAATTCATTAATTAGATATACAACATTGGTCAAAAAGGGAAATGGGGGTGGGACAACCTTTTTGACCAATGTTGTATAATCAGTAGATAATAAAGAGAATTGACCTGTCTTGGCCGAGGTCTGCGCTATCTGAGTAATTATCTTACTTCATTATAAATGCTTATTTTGGACTATTACGCCCGCGGCAGGTAAAATATTGTTTACACCAGTTTTTCAGAATGTGTGAATTTATGGTTTAAGATTTTTTATGCATTCGTCAGATCTTAAGATTTGTTTTTTTTTTTTCTGAAATGTAACTGCTTCATGGCGTTTCTAAATAATAAATTAATAACTAAATAAATAGATAAACGTTCGACAAAATCAAGGTATATAATTGTTTATTAAAGTGGCGGTCCAAATGACCAGTGCGTTAAAAAGTTTAAATTATGGCACAAACTGTGTTACTGTAACACACTTTGTGAAGATTGCAGGGTGGCACATATTCCAAGTGACTCAATGACTCTCACTCTTGTATTATATAAATGTCTTCATGATATCAACACATATCGACAATAACTCCAATTCAGTTATTTATTTCTCTTGTTTTCACATTGAGAACATATAACAGTATTATTAAACCCGGATGGTTTAATAAAACTCTCTAGATTAGCTTTATGAATATACACAGGTTTTTCAATATATTAATATTGTTGGAAGCAAAAAGATTGTAGAACTTATAAGTGTTAGGTCCATTTATAAAATAATCAGGTACCAACCTTTTCCTATCATTTGTGAGTAAATCGCAATCCATAACATAATGAAACTTATCACCTATACTGCGTTCGCATAAATTACATATTCTATGATTTTTTTTTAGTTTTATTCCATCGACCTACCTCAATTGGTAGTCTATTGTTACTAGTTCTAAATCTGGCGAGTAGTACGATTTCTCCTTTTGATAGGTCCAATTCTAAATAATTACGTGAGCAAAATTTATTTTGCGTAAACAACTTGTAAAAGTTACCTTTTGATAAACTATTACAATCATTACACCACTTTGGTATAAACTGGTCCCGAAGGGTTTGCTCAATTTTCAGGATTAAGCCTTTTTTGTTTTGTACATTTTGGAATATCCATATATAATTCAATCCACAATCTTGTAAAATTGACTGTAGCCTATATAGATCAGCCATTTAAAATTCAAAGTATTATAATTTGTATTCAGTGCATACAATAATCTATAAAGTATATAGGACAATTTTGTATTCTTGCCATTTAGGAGTTTAATCCAATAATTGGCAACCCTGAATTTGACCGTTATGCTAAGTGGGTACCTTTTCAATTCTCCATATATCATATAATTTGGTGTTGATGGCTTTAAATTCAAAATTGCCTTACAAAATTTAAGATGCACTTTTTCTATAATATCTAAGTTTTTATATACCTATATCTCAGCTCCATATAACAAAAATGGTAATATCATCTTATCAAAAAGGTCTAATTGGCAATTAATTGATAAATTTAACTGTCTAGCTTTTTTATAAATGCCAAACATAATTCTTGTCGCCCTCTGTACTACATATTTCCGCGTAAAAATGATCCAGTTCTAGATATAAAAATTCCCAAATATTTAAAATTTTTAACAATTTCAATGTCATTATTGTTACATTTAAATGACAATTCTTTAGGTTGTCTCCCTTTTCCAAATACTAGGGCGTATTTTAGGGCGTATTCCCAGACATTTAGATCGATCTATCCCCGTGGGGAGTCTCACTAGCTTACTGTCAGATAATCCGGCTTAAATGTCCGTCCCGCCTACTACAAGCCGTAAGGGGGTAATTAACTTTCGTGCCCGCTCGGCTGACAGCTATTTAGCGTGAACCCCCAGGGAGTTAGGTCGATATAGTTTGGATCGATCTAATCTCTGGGAATGGGGTCTTAGTCTTGTCAGCCTTTACCTGCAATTTCCAATTTGAACAATAATGAAAAAAGCAATCAAGTTGATATTGAAGATCGTCTTTTGTCTGGCGAGGGTCGCCAAATATGTGATGAACCTTTTCATATACATATGAGATGAATGTCCTAAACTTATATAATTTTTGTACGCTTAATTTAAGCTTGGGCTCGAAATAAGACATTACGTTTTAGACTTAGGCCTAACGCAATCTAAAGATTCCACGGTTCGTGTCAGATTAAGGTAAGGTCGCACAAAGAAAACCCAAGTCCACATAATGACCAGTTATACATTTTATTCGTTGACACTCGGTAGCTACATATTCTAAGTGAAGTCTCCAAATCCTAGCTCTCTTAAACTACTCTGTACTACATCGCTCCCAATCTACTCCGTCTCCTCGCTCTCTGTCCCCTCCTCTCTCATTTTTAGATATCGCTTATGTATTTATTTCTTATCTACATGTATGGTCGATGCACGCAAACTTTAATTACTTATAATTGTACAGTAATTGTGAAATTAGTTTCTTTACCTCAGCGTTATACAAAGAGGCCGCCATATTACTCAAGAACTGTTGGACTACAACACATTACGTAATATAACTTCAAAATATATCAATGTAGGACACGACATATAGATTGTGGAGTATTAATTGTACATGTCTGCTGACTGATTGCAGTAGATGTGATCCACAGACACAATGTGGTAGGTGTATATAGCTTGTGGAGTATTAATTGTACATGTCTGCAGACTGATTGCAGTAGATGTGATCCACAGACACAATGTGGTAGGTGTATAATGCAGCATTATTAAAAAAAAGTCTCTTTTCTTGATGTTGTCTGAATTTTAACCTCTGCAGTTCATAAAGCCGATTTTCTGTTAGTCATTAAAAATAATTATATTTCAAGTGAAATGAAAGACCTTAGTTGTATTTTCCCCAATTTTTAACGTCTGTTAGATACAAGCACATTTATCCACCTCATCCAAACATTCATTCAACTTAACATACACACCCACATCCCCACAAACAAACAAATGCTTCTAGCAAATTAATTTAAGTATTTTTACGACACCTGCTTTAGTTGTCAGAAATGTATTATTATTATTATTATTATTATTATTACTATTAAAAAGTCAAATTTAAACCGCCATCCAAAGTGGCCAGACACCCAGAGGCACAATAATTCTAATGCATGAGAATTCAGCCTTTTCTGTGCTCCTGATAATTATGTATAAATGCATTTCCTATTTTATTCACAATTAATTTTACCAATATAAACTGACTGCTCTTTCGAATTTACATATTCGCCCAAAATCAATTGAATTTAATTTGCCTATTTCGTTCGCGTTAAATATGGAGATCCATCAAATATTTCAATACTGTAACTTGTAGCATTATAGCAATGTGTATTTTCGTTTTCTTTTATGTTATCAGCCTGCATAATGATTATTATAATTATGTCACATCTTAAAATACAGATAAAGCAAAAAAAAAAAAAAAAAAAAAAAAAAAAAAAAAATAATAATAGTAAATAATAAAATAATAATGAAAAATAATAATAAGGCTTGGCTTGGCACCAATCTATAGGCCTACAATGTCAATGAGCATGGGCGTCAACAGGGGCGTACAATGGAGTCACTTGACGCCCTCTGGAATTTTGGAATTTTGGAACTGCATTTTATTGCGGGTACCTAGCAAATCATTATCTCCCCCTTCAATGACTTTGACCCCCCACCCCCACCCCCTGGAAAATTTTCTGCGGACGCCCATTTCAATGAGAATTTACCACTTAGTACTTTAAAGCAGGACTACCAAAGAAATGCAACATTATCTACAAAATTATCACACTGGTATATTTGGAGGGATATTTTTAGACAAGATAAACATCAATCACTGCCTCCTCCATAGGCCTATATAACATACTTAATAGTGTCAGGTTTGATTCATTATCAACACCATATTTTTTATGCAATTAGTGACATAAAGAGAGTGTGCTGGATCACAATATGGTTACTGTATCAGATTTTTCCACTATTTATTTCATTTGGACACCTAAATTTGGTTTAATGTAAACCTGGACATAATAAGAGAAGGACGTGAAACGCGGCATCTTCTTTGAAGCTATGTGCGTTCGGGTAAACATTCGCCCATTGTCTCAGATAAGTTGTTTTGATAGCTCCACGGGAGCCTGAACAGCTTGTTATCAAGGTAGCGCGCGCTGTGCCTCATGGAAATTATTTTGTTCTATTGCATGGATAACGCAATTTCTCGCGGTACCTCGTGGTTGCTATGATACAGCATTACCTTCATCTTGCAGTTGCTAGTACATAGACTTGCGTCAACACGTGGAAATTTGTTTCGGGTTTTCAGTATCTTTTTCCTGTTACCTAACTAAAACGGGCTCTGGCCTTTTTCTATACTTGTTATCGTTTCCAAGATTGTATTTATGGTATTGTAACAACAATTTGTATAAAAGGTTAAAATATTTATTACAGAATTAAAAGTCCATGTTTCACATGCCACGTCGCATCCCCACTTCCCGCTTCACACTCATGACCTCTGACCTACACCACGTGACTTATTACATCATTACATCACATTACTTCTTTTCTTTTTTTTTTTAAATTCGAATATTATGGCAGAACAAAACATAACATATATACAATAAATGTAATAAACAATAACACAAAATGCATATAATACTAAATGTCAACTGTATTCATAAAATTGTCAACTTTATCTCTTAATGAAAACGTTTGAAAAAACTAGAATTTCTCGTTATTTATCTCCTCGTGGAATCATCTCTCGCAGTAATCATTGTTCCCTTTTTACGACATATTGTAAGTGGTGTGGATTCATATGGTGTTTGGGATTTTTTTGCATTTTGTGTTTTTCAAGAGAGCTGTATCACCCACTGTTAACGTAGATTTTTTAACATTTGTTTTACGATCGGCATTGTATTTCATCACTTTCTTGCTGTTTTGGTCATTATGCCTGATTTTAGAATAAGTGTTTGGTGTTTGAGGCACATGTGGAAGTTCACAGCCGATATCCCTTCCGAAAAGAGCGGTTGCGGGAGGAATACCAGTGGAAGTATGTGGCGTTGTTCTGTAATCAAGGAGAAAATCATTCATGGCTTGTTTCCAGTTGCGCTTCTTTGCGATGGCGCCCTTGATAGACTTTTTCAAAGGGCCCATAAAACGCCCTGTTACTCCATTTGCCTGAGGCCACAGTGGTGTTATCTTTCGGTGTTTGAATCCTGTTTTCTCGGCATAATCCGCAAAGTCATTTCCACTGAATGGAGGCCCATTATCCGTTTTTAATACGGATGGTATGCCGAACTCCGCAAGTACTTTATCCAACCGTGGGATAACACTCCGTGCTGAAAATTTCAATAATGACGTGTTGTGACCACTCGGTCCTTCTCCAAAATCAGCACAAAGTTCTGTCCAAGGAGCGATTGGAAGTTCTGTCATGCGAAGCGGCTCTCGCGTGATTATCTTCGTTGAAATTTGACAGTGTTTGCACGATTTCACTGTGTCTTCGACAAGTTTATGCATTCTAGGAAACCACACCTTCTCACGTAGTAAAGCAACATATTTCACAATCCCTTGATGTCCGCTATGTGCAATACTCACGGCATGGCTATATAAATTTTCCGGCAAAACTATTTGTCGTCCTTTCAGAATTATTCCATCAGGGTTTGAGATAGAAAGCTCCGAACGACACTGATAAATGTTTTGGAAAATACTGAAATTCCCTTGTGGAGTCCAGTCATTTGTGACCATAGCAATCTTCACCGCTGCAAGTGTCACATCCTTTTCGGTTTCCTCTTTCACCATTTCAAGGGTCATTGCTTTTTGTTTCTGTTATCCTTTCCTCTGTACTTGATGATAACTGATCAGTCTGATGCGTGGGGTGTCGGCTCTAGTAACCAGCAGGGTTGTCATGCCCTGCCACAGTATTGATATATGTCGAGCTGATATATAACTGGTTTAAAAGCATGATGACTTAATAAAGCCAGATAGATGCTATCCAAATGCATGTCTCAGGATTATTTCAAAGATTTCAAGCGTCTGATAACAAGATAATGCAATGTACGTAGCAAGCCAATTAAAGAGGTGAGACTTTAATCACAAATGTGATCAACTTTTGTGACCATTAGCCAAGTAAATAATATCATGAAGTTTGCATGTGTACACGTCCACATTTTTACTTGAATTTAAAGACCAATGAGGGTGTTTGTCAATCGTCTCTATGCTGTTTAGGGACTCCGATTCAAAAATGAAAAACTTTATCCAGCACAGTGTTAATGTCAACTTTGATAAAAGGATATTAATTGGCCCACAGGTGCGTTTTTGTGCGTCACAAATACTTGTGTGGTGCCATGTTGCAATGATAACCCATATTGAGAGCTAAAAATATTAATTATCATTCCATAATTCGGGCTCACTAAGGCAAGTAACATAAACCTATACATAGTACACAGAAGTGTAAATGCCACCTTTATCTTAACGGTACGTAAAAAAATTCCAGACCTAAAACGATGTCAGCGAGTTGAATAAATCGGAGAGGAATTGCGTCATTTTAATTCAAGACACGATTGAAGGTTTCATTATTGCCGCGTCTCGGGCTAAATTCTCAGATAGAGAGAAACGTTTGACACTAGAAATATTTTCCAATCGGATCATAGCTGAAAACAAGTATACTACACTACAGTTGAACAATTTTGAATGCTCATTTTACGGCAACAAACAAGATTGCCTTTACCACATAGGGCATTTTGAATTCCTCCATGAAAAAAAATATCAAATTCTCACATAGCTTTCAAATTGACAGAACAAATTGCATTTATACTTAATCTCTATAAGTTTCTTGTCTCATCCACGTTATCGTTATCGCGAACTACCTGCTCAAATGACACAAAAATTCATCGACAACTGCGATATGCTCGCTACCTGTACGGGAGGTCACGTGATCCGAACGCACATGGTTTCGCGAAGAGCTCACGTTAAGCCGATTATCATTTGATCTTGCCCCGCGTTTCACGTCCTTCTCTCATTATGTCCAAGATGTAAAGCATACTTGAATGTAGTCAACCTGCCCTGTTCCGCCGGAAACACAAACATCGGGGACGCCATGAGGAGATGTGCACGTTTTGAAGCAGGTGTCAGCAAAATCGCGGTAGTGTCTCTCACTTATAAATAAAGACTGGGGAAAATCATGGCGAAAAATGTTTTGCCAAAGTCACCAGTCAACAATGAATGTAAAGGTTGAAATCTTAAAGTCCAAACTTCACGCAAAAAAAAAAAAAAAAAAGAAAAAAAAAAAGAAAAAAGAAAAAAAGAAAAAAAAACTATTTCCTAATTTGGCTCCCAATTAAACAATCTTCCAACGACACCACGTCTTTTCAAATCTTGTGCATACTGTGCATTCCTATTTGCTTCTGCTCTGGCACCCCTGAGTTCCTCTTCCTGTGTGTTCAAGTCTCTTTGTGTTATACCCAGTTTCGTACGTAGTTGTTTATTTTCTTGGGAAAGCTACAATTAGAAGATATTTCAGCATTAAACCGCACTGTCTCAGCACTGGTTTACTCAATTGAAAATTACAGATACTTATCAAACATTAGCAAAATTATTATCCATAAACATACACTTATGTACTTTACCTGATGGTTTTCACAATTCACGGTGAAATCGAAATAAATAAGTGTAGGACGTTGTTACAGATAGTGCTTAACATCTGTCTATGTGAATTAACTCAATATATGAAAGGTTTCTCGTCAGATCGTCGAAATGGCCTGAACGGAGCATATTCATGCATATGCATAACATGCCCAATTAAAAATATCTTTATCCAAATATACAATTAAAACTCATTTTGTAATTTTTTGACTTGCGAGTTAATGATCTACGTGGTCACGTGGCCCGATGACGACAATCGTGTCACTGGAGGAGGGAGAGACAATCAGTGTGTTTAGCTTTCAAACCGAGCTGCATTGTCTTCCTGTGAGATGACTTTGCTGACTCCTGATAAAAGTTCATACTCATTCAAATCTCTTACCCGAGGCGTCTAAATCCTCGTGAAGCTGTGTAAAGCCATTTCCCGTCTATTCAATTTTTTTAACTAGCATTTAATTATGGTTATCCCAAGTTGTATAAAACACTGCATTTGAAAGACTTGAGGGTACTGTTGATCATTCCATATGAGTTCCATGTTATTTGTGAAATTCAATTCAATTTTTTTTAACCGTTGCGCCCTATGGCTCATCAGAATGAAATGCAAAAAATATATATATAAAGTCATAAAAACAACAACAATACAACTACAACTACTACATTAAAAACTAATCAGACTGACGTTGATCTTAGCTCCGATGCACATTTTAAGTACTTTCATAAGTTGTTTAATTGTGAAACATAGTTAATGGATAACAACGTAATTAATTGAAATCACTTTGCTTTGATTAATAAATTTTTAATGTATTTCTACCTTATCATTCTATAGCAAAAACATTTTTAAATTCTTAAAGGAATAAAATGAAATTCATCCTCAATGTCATCCAAAATACAGAGTTTACAGGTTTTTAATATTTATTTGTCTGTTTACCTTCCAGTTTCTGTAGCTAGATTATGCATGGGCGTAACTACAGTAGGCATACGCACGGATGCACTGTGCGGACAGATTTATTTTTGGCCAACCATGATATTATTTTATATTATTTTGTACTTTTATTAAACTGAGGTAAACAATGCCTGTTACCTTTACAAGTCCTACGTCCATCTAACTAGAACTTCATTTACCTCTTAATTGGATGGTTAAGTGGCATTCAACTCTCCTGTAGCCTTGGTCTTGAGAGTATCGAACGCACTCTCGCTGGCGATATTTATCTCAGGTAAAAACTCTTCCTGTGCATTATTTTCAAAGAACAGCTCCCGCAGACCTGGGGGCACTAGATAAAATCTGGACACCAGGTTTATTAAGGAGCTAGAGAAACAAAGGAATAATTTAACCTTCAAAGCTTCATTGGAATTTTAACACGGACTTGATCCAGCTTAGAACTCTGAACTAACAGGGTGACATGGGCAATTTTCACAAACAAATAATAGAACTTAAGTTTATGATTCAGTTAGCCTCCTTTTAAATAAATATACCGTTCTGGGTAAATTAGTATATTGAAACTTTATTAAATCGTGAGTATATTTTTGACTTAAATGATGATTTTATTATTGATGGAAATTAAGCTACTATATGTGGTGTATTTGCTGTGATTACGCTGCCCTTTATCTGTTGCGTTAGTCTACATTTTGCTGTACGTCTTGGGAATTTTAAAAATCTGTGCATACAATTTTTGAAGGTCTGGTTACGCCCCACTTCTGTGATGAAAGTCTAAATTTGGCAATTAATTCCCTAAATTTCTGTGAAATTAGCTTATTTAAATAGAATTGCAGTGTAAAATTTTCAACAAAATGTTGGTACAATAGCCCTTTACTCCTTGTGGACGTCAATGTTTGTCTAAAATTATCTTTCAATCTGTACTCTGTCAAGGACAGTATAGAGTTATCTGACATATTTTCGTAAAAAAATTAACGACAATCCAAGTGTCTACAGTTCATTCCGTACTCATTTTTACCCAAGCAAAAATTTGTATCTTGAGTAGATATTTATAGCACGCTGTTATAATACAATTTTTCAAAGAGGTGATTTAAATCAATATTAAAAATTCGAAGCTTCATACTTAAAAGAAGTGGGTATCTCCCGCTTTTCATAATATACTAAGTTATGTACAATGAACTAAATTACCACAAGTGCTCTTTTTACACCCAACATTCTTTTAAAAATCCGTATGTGCCTTTCTTACATCCCTTATCAGGTTAAATCTCCATGCATAATTTCAAATATACTAACGTACGTATCAAAAACTGCACATTTAGTAAACATATTTTTTATATGCTACTAATAGCAAACAACGCTTTTTTACCGTAATCTGCTACATGTTTTTGGTTTTGACAAAACTTACAAATTGGAAAAAAAAGTTTTGCGTACAGTCGTAGAACTTGCGTTTCAAGTTATATAATGATAAATCTTTTAAATTATTTAATATTTCAGTTGAAATAACCTTCAGAAACAAATCCTCAAAGTATAAACGAGTTAGGATTACGAACCATTCATTACAGCAGTTCCCATTTTTTCTTTAATATTACCGCTCTTTTCCAGTTTTTCTTCAACCACGTTTTCTTCTACGGAAGTTATGCCTGGGCATACGTATGCTTCAAGATACCCGAGAGCAATCACTTTTATAAATATTCGCGACCGTGTTTGAACTCAATTGTTAAAATATCGATATTTAACGTCATTTAAAAATACCACTAAAATTACCCCATGAAATAAAAGAGATCTAAAAATATTAAAGCCCACCAATAATCTGACGAGTTGGATACCTATTGTTACCTGACTTGGGAAGTGCAACTGTGCATAATTAACAGGTTTTATTGTTAGCGAGCTCTTGGTCAAATACAATGCATTTAAAATGCACCAGCAATTACTAAGCTTGTCAACTGATGACAGTTAATTTGAAAGTCTATTAGCTTTTGATATGATCTGAGGTGACCATAATCTCGAGCATCACATCTACTGATACTGAAGTTATTAAATAAGTCACGGAAGACCGTCGCAGACAAAGAAAAGATTGTCAACGAGTGCGGCCATTTTGGTGAATCCCAAGGCAACACACTTAGGCATAATGAAATTTGCTCAACCCCGTTCAGCACAACTTCTCTGTCTGTATGCACCATGCAGATCAGTTGAGTCTCAAAGACCTTTATCCTCATTGTCGTCACAGTGCCACGTGACCCAGATCTGTTGCTTCATTTATGCATAATGAGGTGGGGTTTACTAAAACGCTTTTTTTCCTAGTAATAGATTGTTTTTATACTTTTGAAATGGCGGGGTTCGATTAAAACATGTCGATTTGGTATGCTCGAGTACCCTTTGTATTTCGATTTGGCTTCCACGAAACGCTAATCCTTGCAAATACGCTGACACAGCCGCTCCAGCACCTTCTTTTTCAGCCTACAATAATAAAAAAAAAAAAAATTCAAAATCAATCAGTCATCGTTTTGGTTACTGCATATGGGTTACAGAGAAACATCGTGTGGCATCATATTCAAAACTGTTCACAGAACGTCAATCTATAAACGCAAGTCTCTAGGAATGGAGACGGTGACTGTCGGTATTTACTTACTTATGAATACATGTGGAACTTAACGACTTCTATGTCGTTTTTGCCGAAGTGTTTTGAATTGAGTATAATTAACAGACTTGACATATACTATGGGATATTTCATTTTGGAAGGTATGCCTAGGTAAAATACGTTCTTTTTTGAAAAAACTCCCATCTCATATAATATTTGTGAATGGAGAAGTTTGTAGTGAAGTGTGTCGCTACCAATTAACTAACTTACATGTCTGTTGCGCTGCTTCATTATGTAATATGCAGTGATTTAATTGGGTAGTGTTCCTTTGGGCTGGTCAAAGCTTGGCTTAGGCAAAGTTTGGTAATATGTCAAAAAAGTATCCATATGTCGGCAACAACTGCATAGAAGAATTTGAAATTTTGAAAGCAAGCTGTCAGTTTTGTAGTGCGTTAAATTAGCTAAGTTGTGCTTTACATATTTGCTAATCTGTGGCAGGATGGCGCGAATAAGACTGACAATAACAGACAGGTTATAACGCCAAACGGAACGGACTACAAATTTTTATAAAGTAATACCCAGACTGATGGACCTAAACAGAGATCACACCCAATGTATCGTGTTCTTGCCTAAAGGGTAAAGGACCCACTGTCCTTCGGAATACGCTGCTGCTGCAACTAAACAAAAACCACCCAGTCCGTTCAGAACGAGGAGTAAATTGCCACCAAAATGCGTTTTTCAAGGCCCTTAGCGAACACCAAACTGGTTTGAGCAGGTAAGAATACCAGACGACCTCCGAGATACCCACTGTAAACAGCAAAACATTGTCGTCTGTTTCTCTAATGAATTGGGGGCCATGACCGTTTCTGGGTAGAACACTGAAACCGCTCGGTTTTCTTTATTGAGGTCAGATTTCACCTGTACCGCCCAACTAGTCAAAACAGAGTCTACAGACATCCAGAAGAGGCCAACGACGAAGCGCGTGCCCCGACTAAAGTGACACGGGTCATTGACATCGTCAGTATTTGGAGTGGATACCGCACTGGTGCCAAAACACCAATGGTAGTCATGAACGAAAACCTGAACCAGATCAAATAAAGGATTAATCTGGGAACCACTTGCCTATCGTTTGATAGTGGGTACCTTTGGAACAATTTTTGGTTGGATGGTGAGATTGCCGGTTCACAGAGCAATTTTATTAACAGATAAATTACAGAACCAAGGGAATGAGCAGCTACCCTGGTCATCAGAATCGCCACATTCCAACTGTATAGACAATATGTGGGTAGGCCATTACACGCCGAATCAACGGCCTAAATGTCCTACGACAAAACTGGACCAAAATGGACAATTTTTGACCGATGTCTGAAATGTTATTCCTGCTTGACCTCTAAAAAACTATCCCAAGGAATGTCTAGCCGCTTGAGAGCGCTGGTAACAGCCGGAAGAGGTAAGACGTAACTGCGACCGTTAATGTGACTAGACACTGATAGGAGGGTCCTTTGTGGAGCGTGTAACTCTTTTACAGGCGATAATTTGGAAAGTATGGAGATCCAAAATATCTCTTTTAATGGATGTCGTATGACATAGAATAAACAATGTATTTCTGCTTGCTTCATTGTCGAATTCATTCAATAAATTGATATCATCATGACATCTAAGAGATAATTTAAAGTTATTAAAACACGATTTTAATCCTCATTTTCATTTATCAGTCAGCAAAATAGGAAAAAGACTAATGAAAAATGATTTGGAAAAAATTCTATAGTAACTGTCATTTCTGTAGTAATCATAGGGAAACGCTATTTTCCACAAAAAAATTCTTAGCTAAATAGAGGTCAACAGCGTACGCCTCTACAACAAACCTTTGCCCATTCAGCAGCAATTGTGTGATTTTTCTTCTCTAGGTCTTGTATTTTCCCATTTAGCCTTCTTCTTTCATTGTCATGTTCTTCTTTTTGCTAAAATGGTCGTAATTGGAATATCATTAAAACACATTTTATCATTCAAATAATTTTAATTCTGCACATAACACCTGAGATTCATGCTATTATTTATTATTTTCTATTTTACTTTATAATACGTCGAAAGAAGGAAGTCTCATACGGCTCTAACCTTCCTAAGAGCTGTTTCGTGATTTTGGGACACTTTCTCCAAATCTTTTTTATACTTAGTCTCCTTCCTTGCAGATTCATCGCAAAGGTATTGAAGTTCCTTGCTCTGTTTTTCCAACTTCAAATCTGACATCTCTTGCTTTTTCTTAGCTTTAGCCACATCCCTTTGTAATTCTTCGATTTGCTACAAGAAAGAGGACTGGTAAAATTACTTATAAAAAATCAGCAAAGCTGTCGAATTTACAGACAAAAACCACAAAATATAATGGTGTATAGAAAAGCTAATTTTGTAGATTTTAATCCAATATTGCATAATGACATCATTAACATGAACTATTATTACCAAATATTAAGCATGCACACTTGGATACACAAAGATGTTGAGGATATGTAATTTGCATACGACTTCAGGCCCCAGAGAGTTGTAATTTCACAAAATAAAACTGCATAACTTCAGGCAAATTACCTATTCAGAATGGTTTTCAGTCTCAAGCTATTTATTATTCCCAAGGGTAAGAATAACCCCTACAAGGGCAGTAGAAAAACGATGGCACGATGTTCACCTGTGTTGATTGCTTGTTTGTTTGTTAGGTTGTTGTTTGTTGACGACAGGTTTGGGCTACTATGGCTGACAATAGAGTGTGTCAATAGTGAACAGCAAGTATTTTCTTGATTTTTTTGTGTCTCGTAGTGAAATACGTCAACAAAGGAGAATGTTTTATAAACAAATCTTGATGTTTATAGCCTACATATTGAGTTACAGTGGAGACATTTGAAATTTGATCAACATCTTTCTAAGGTGACTGGGGTCTATTAGAAGTGCATGCCACGTCTTTGCGAGGTATTGTGGACGAAATATTTGAAACTTTGTCTGTTCTTTGTTGACCCTAGCGGGAAGTGATTTCTATTCACCAGCTACCTGTGTACATCTACTCACCTGCATTGTAATAACGTTACCTGCATAGCAACTGTTCACCCAATTATCATAACAATGAGATGCGAAGGTTTATCTGAGGGTGAATGCCCAGGAAGGAGAAGCGGCGATTACGTAAAACTTTGCCAAGGAGACTTGATGCTATGCAAACAATGCGAACAGACACGCTTCCCCATAATCGCAAAAGCCCCACAAGCTGAAGTATCACCTATAGATTTGACCTCAGAATATCCGGAGGAAGATCTAGATACTTTAAGTTTTGACGAAAACTCAGATTTTAGTCAAGACATCACAGATAAAAAACAGGTGCAAGAAGAAAGAACCCACCGACAAAACGTAGAGGACGTCCCCGTAAAATTATACAAACGTATACGAAAACGATAAACAATCGGCCAGAAAGCAATCAGATTGATGCCTTAATAAATAACATCAGTTCCTTAACCAGCGAAATAAAAAACATGAAGGACGATTTTGATAAAAGGATTGACTCTCTCGCTAATACATTGGAGGCCCGCATTGTTGACCACGTCACACGAAGCGTCAAGCAAGTAATAGAAACAGAAATAAATCAAATTAGGACCGATTTTGATCTGGAAATTGAATCGATGAAGCGAGACATACATTATCTTGAAAAATCCTATGCGGAAGCTGTAAAAGAGAACAAAAGCGGTTGGGACCGATCAAAAAACATTGTCATCCGTAACCTGCCTACCGGAGAAAACGAAAACGTGACAAATAAAGTAAATTGTTTAATAAGCGATGATTTGAAATTGAGAGATGTGACCAGATTATCTGCAGTGCGAAAAGCCCCTTTCAATGAAAATAAATCGGGGATTGTGATAGCAACATGCCCTTCAGTTGAAGCTAAAAAGAAAATTCTGACAAATAAAAGATACTTAAAAGATTCAAGGAACTTTAGCAACGTCTTTCTTGACCACGATCTGCCCAAGGAAGAAAGGATTCTGACCTCAAATCTAAAGGCAATAGTGGACGCAGTTAGCAGAGATGAATGGAGATTATCGGGAAGTTGGATACAGAAAATAACCGCAAATCCAGACCAACGCCCTAACCCAGCCCCTTACAATAACCGCGGCCAAAATGGACATCGTCAAAAACCCGTGAATCCGAATGGAAGCAGCCGACATAATCACGGAGGAAATAACCCCAGTAACGGGAATAATAGTAATCGCCACTAGGATTCTCTCCGGCTAGGTTTCTGGCACGTCAACGGGTGCATGGTCTCCGCATATGAACGAAAATGTTGATTTTAGACAACCCGTTTTGAAGAAAATGAAATTTGATATCTTATGTCTCTGTGAAACCTTTTTGAGAAAGGAAGAAATCATTAATATTAACAATTTTATCTGTCTTAGTAAAAACCGTTCATCATCTCACATTAGAGCCAGACGGGGCGCCGGAGGAGTAGCATGCTTAATAAAGCGTCCATATTTAGTGTTAGCATTCTTGATGATAGTGTAGATGATATACTCTGGGTTAAGTTCCAAGCAAAACAGTCTGATCTTGTTATGTGCTTGTGTATATGTTACCTACCCCCAGTAGGGAGCTCTAGACCTTCAGACTCTCACTTATTCTTTACAACGCTCACTCGCCAGCTCCATGAATACCAAAAAGTGGGTTTTATAACCATCTGTGGTGATTTTAATGCACGAACAGGCAATCTAAGTGATTTTATAGAAGGGGTGGATGAAATCCCTCACCGAGAAAATGTTGACTGCACCGAAAACGGCTTTGGTGACCAATTAATTGATTTTTGTGTGGACTGTAATATATGCATGTTAAATGGCCGAATTGGAAAAAGCAACACATTTACGAAAGGGAGGTCAGTCGTGGACTATGTGTTAGCACCTCATGAACAATTATCCCTATACGAGGACTTTCAGATACATACAATGTCAGACTTAATATCAGAACTCCAGCTGTCAACGCCTCTATCAGTACCAGATCATTCTTTGTTAAACTGGACGATTGACCTGAGAAAATCTGGTGTAAAACTACCAGTATTAGATGAACCAAATCAAGAAAATCACTGTGTTATTAACATTAATAATTTCCCCGACAATTTCTTATGCTCAAGACAAGGAGCGTGCGAACAACTCCACGAATGTATGAATCGCATCGAGAATCAACTAGAAAATCGAAACGATGTCAATGCGGCGTACGCGGAATTTGAACACTATTTACACAATGAATTGAAGAAAAGAGGTTTGTTACGACAAAGCCACAGCAATGCAAAACGTCACAAATCAAAATCAAAACCCTATTGGAATGATGAATTACAAAATCAGTGGAATAAAGCCTGTGATGCGGAACGAGCTTGGTTAAAATGTTCGACGCCTCAACGTAAAAATACTTTGAAATCTGTATATTGTACCGAGCGCAAGAGTTTCGACAGGCTACATAGAAAATACAAGCGTAATTTCCAACGGAATAAGCAGATGGAGATGCATGATAAATTAATTTCTAACTCTCAGGGATTTTGGAGAGACATAGGGAAAATCGGCATTGCAAATAACAGAAAATGTAAAATCCCAACTGAGGTGATAGACCGCGACGGCTCTCTCCTAACAGGAATGGATAATGTTTTGAGCGAATGGAGATCCCAGTATGAGTGTTTATACAATGTTAATAATAATGTCACGGATTTTGATGAAAATCATTTCAGCACAATTCTCAGCAGGCTCGAAAACGATGACTTCCATCCTATGCACGATGCAAATATCCTGAACCGACCAATACGACGAGATAAAGTTGCGGAGGCAGTAAATAATGCTAAAATGCGTAAGGCTGCCGGCATTGATGCAATCCCGGCAGAAGCATTAAAGAATGAAGTTTGCGTCGAGCTTCTGCATAAGATAATCAGTGCATGCTTCGAAAAAGGCGTAGTCCCAGATATTTGAAAACCGGATTGCTGAATCCAATAGAAAAACCAAATGGGACGGACCCACATAAACCTTTAACTTACCGAGGTATAACATTAATTTCAGTACCGTGCAAGATTTACGGCGATATATTAAATAAACGCTTAACTGCGTGGCTTGAGAGTACGCCCTACTTGGCGGATGAACAAAACGGCTTCAGAAAGGACAGGAGCTGCGAGGATCATGTCCACACCTTATACAGCATCTTAGATAACAGAATAAAATCTAAAAAGCAAACTTTTGCCTGCATTATTGGCCTGCAAAAGGCGTTTGACAGTTTAAACAGGCATTGCTTGTGGTTTAAATTGAAACAACTGGGGATAAATGGATCGTTTTACCAAGCAATTATTTCCATGTATGACAATGTCACCGGCCGTATACGACTAAATGGGTCATTAACCGAACCTTTTAAAATTACACGTGGTGTCAAGCAAGGATGTTTGCTGTCGCCAGCATTATTTGGGATTTATATAAATGACCTAGCAGACTCTTTGCGTGAGGCAAATCTTGGTATTGACATCGATGGAACAACAATTAACCTTCTTATGTATGCTGATGACATTGTTGTCGTGGCTGAAAATGAAGACAATCTTCAGAAAATGCTGGACCTTGTTTCTGCTTGGTGTTACAAATGGAGACTTCAGCTTAATTCATCAAAAACGAATGTGATTCATTTCCGTGCAAAATCAGTTGAAAAATCTAACTTTGAGTTTATATGTGGAAAGCAAAGACTTGAAATGGTCGATAAATATAAATATCTCGGCATTTGGCTAACAGAACACCTGGACTTAACGTATGCTGTAAGGGAACTGGCCAAAACAGCCAGTAGATCACTTGGCGTCTTGACAGCAAAATATTTTGAAAGCTGTGGCATGACTTATGCCGTTTTCACACAACTATATAAGTCTTCAGTAGAACCAGTTTTAATGTACTATGCGTCATTATGGGGACAAAAAGAATATCGATTTGTCAACAATGTTCAAACTCGCGCGATGCGTATCTTCCTTGGCGTAACCAAAACGACGTCTAATGTGGCAAAGCAGGGTGACATGGGGTGGATGCCTAGCCTAGCAGTTCAACACATAGAAGTGTTCAGATACTATTGTAGACTTAAAAATGTAAACAACGACCGCATTTTTAGTAAAGTTTTTTTAAAATTAAAATTAAAATTGGTCAGTAAAGCAGAAACGCTCTTGGGGTGTGAAAACCATTAAACTTCTCACTCAATATAAACTGAACAGCATGTTAAGCAATGAGTCTTATGTATTTACAAACGCTAAAAAAGAGATTAGAAGGTCTCTTTTTCAATTTTACGAACAGAAATGGTTTTGTAAATTGTGGAATGACAAAGGAAACCCCAATGGAAATAAACTGAGACATTATAGATCCTTCAAAAAAGATTTGAAAACGGAGACATATCTTCACTGTGCAATGCCAAGACCTTACCGTAGCGTTTTAGCTAAGTTGCGCTGTGGCAGTCTACCTTTACATGTAGAATCCGGCCGTTTTATACGAACCCCTTTAAATGAAAGACTATGTTTTTATTGCGATAGAAAAAATACAGATTTACGACAAGAACTTTTAGATCAATGTCACTATCTTAATCCATGTTTTAGCAATTATAGTGATACAGAAAAATGTGTTTTTATTATGAATTGCGAATACCAGTTTTTATTAGCTAAGACAGTTTTTAAAATGGATAAAAGACGGAAATCGTTTAACTGTGTCTCATAAGCCAAATATGGCTGGGTATTTTAATTAGTAGTTTATTTTATACTGTTTTTTGTATTTTATGTTTTAAGAATATGCGACACTTTAATAAATAAATAAATATATATGTTTGTTTTAGCAGGTTAGAATACCAGACGACCTCCGAGATACCCACTGTGAACAGCAAAACATCGCCGTCTGTTTCTTTATTGAATTGGGGACCATGACTATTTCTGGGTAGAACACTGTAACCGCTCGACTTTCTATATTGAGGTCAGATTTCACCTGTAGTCAAAACATAGTCTACAGACATCCAGAAGAGGCCAACGACGAGGCGCGTGCCGCGTCTAGAGTGACACGGTTCATTGACATCGTCAGTATTTAGGGTGTATACCGCACTGGTGCCAAAACACCAATGGTAGTCATGAACGAAAACCTGAACCAGATCAAATAAAGGAATAATCTGGGAACCACTTGCCTATCATTTGATAGGGGGCACCTTCGGAACAATATTAGGTTGCATGGTGAGATTGCCGGTTCACAGAGCACTTTTAATAACAGATGAATTACAGAACCAAGGGAATGAGCAGCTACCCTGGTCATCAGAATCGCCACATTCCAACCGCATAGACAATATGTGGGTAGGCCATTCTTGCCGAATCAACGGCCTACATGTCCTACAACAGTATTGGACCAAAATGGACAATTTTTGACCGATGCCTAAAATGTTATTTCTGTTTGAACTCTAAAAAACTATCCCAAGGAATGTCTTGCCGCTTGAGAGAGCTGGTAACAGCCAGAAGAGGCAAGTCGTAACAGCGATAGTTACTGTGACTAGACACTGACATGAGGGTCCTTTGTGGAGCGTGTAACTCTTTTACAGACGATAATTTGGAAAGTATGGAGATCCAAAATATCTCTTTTAATGGATGTCGTATGACATAGAATAAACAATGTATTTCTGTTTGCTTCATTGTCGAATTCATTCAATAAATTGATATCATCATGACATCAAAGAGATAATTTAAAGTTATTAAAACACTATTTTAATCTCCTCATTTTCATTTATCAGTCAGCAAAATAGGAAAAAAACTAATGAAAAATGATTTGGAAAAAATTCTATAGTAACTGTCATTTCTGTAGTAATCATAGGGAAACGCTATTTTCCACAAAAAAATTCTTAGCTAAATAGAGGTCAACAGCGTACGCCTCTACAACAAACCTTTGCCCGTTCAGCAGCATTTATGTGATTAGTCTCCTCTAGGTCTTGTATTCTCCCATTTAGCCTTCTTCTTTCATTGTCATGTTCTTCTTTTTGCTAAAATGGTCGTAATTGGAATATCATTAAAACACATTTTATCATTCAAATAATTTTAATTCTGCACATAACACCTGAGATTCATGCTATTATTTATAATTTTCTATTTTACTTTATAATACGTCGAAAGAAGGAAGTCTCATACGGCTCTAACCTTCCTAAGAGCTGTTTCGTGATTTTGGGACACTTTCTCCAAATCTTTTTTATACTTAGTCTCCTTCCTTGCAGATTCATCGCAAAGGTATTGAAGTTCCTTGCTCTGTTTTTCCAACTTCAAATCTGACATCTCTTGCTTTTTCTTAGCTTTAGCCACATCCCTTTGTAATTCTTCGATTTGCTACAAGAAAGAGGACTGGTAAAATTACTTATAAAAAATCAGCAAAGCTGTCGAATTTACAGACAAAAACCACAAAATATAATGGTGCATAGAAAAGCTAATTTTGTAGATTTTAATCCGATATTGCATAATGACATCATTAACATAAACTATTATTACCAAATATAAAAGTCATAATAACTCTTCGTTTGGCCAAAATTGGATTTTCCTGAAGTAAACGGCAATATTCCCTTACTTACCAATAGTCAACGACCCCATTCCTGCATTCAGAGTTAGTCTAGGTTTTTTTCCTAAACGCTTGTTTTTTTTTTTTTTTTGTTTAAATCTCTTAAGAGATTTTAACTGACGGGGCCTCTCTGACATTGCTTAGGCACGCGATATCGAGCGGGGTTTTCTGGTGACCTACTTTAAACCGCGGGAAAAGCAGACAACAACAACACTTTATTACAATAAAAAAGATTCATACGATATAATCGTCTTATTGCTCAGATTGCATTCATATCTACAATGTGTGCAGTTCTGGGCCTTTTGTTATCCGACACACTGTACAAAAACTCGCAACTTACGTCTGAGGATTGCGTCATGCGCCTGCTATATCTCTTCCAGCCAAATGTTATTTGGTCTCGAATGAACGCGAGAATCCGCGTGACACGCCAAAGTCCTTGGCAACGGATGCCTTGGTGACCGGGAAGAAAGGCACCGAAAACCCTAGTGACAAGCACAGTTTTTAGTTTTTATAGAATAACAGCCTTTTTAGTGGTGAAATGCAATATAATATATTTCCATGCGTTGTTTAGAATGTATTTCTTGCGGAATTTTGAATCTCAAAGGAAGAGTTATTATTGCCTTAAGCATGCACACTATGATACACAAAGATGCTGAGGATATGTAACTAGCATACGACTTCAGGCCCCAGATAGTTGTAATTTCACAAAATAAAACTGCATAACTTCAGGCAAATTACCTATTCAGAATGGTTTTCAGACTCAAGCTATTTATTATTCCCAAGGGTAAGAATAACCCCTACAAGGGCAGTAGAAAAACGATGGCACGATGTTCACCTGTGTTGATTGTTTATTTGTTTGTTGTTTGTTGACGTCAGGTTTGGGCTACTATGGCTGACAATAGAGTGTGTCAATAGTGAACAGCAAGCATTTTCTAGATTTTTTGTGTGCTATGTCTCGTAGTGAAATACGTCAACAAAGGAGAATGTTTTATAAACAAATCTTGATGTTTATAGCCTACACATTGAATTACTTTTAATGTGTTTGTTTTAGCAGGTTAGAGTACCAGACGACCTCCGAGGTACCCACTGTTAACAGCAAAACATCGTCGTCTGTTTCTTTAATGAATTGGGGACCATGATCGTTTCTGGGTAGAACACTGAAACCGCTCGACGTTCTTTATTGAGGTCAGATTTCACCTCTACCGCCCAACTAGTCAAAACATAGTCTACAGACATCCAGAAGAGGCCAACGACGAAGCGCGTGCCGCGTCTAAAGTGACACGGGTCATTGACATCGTCAATACTTGGAGTGGATACCGCATTGGTGCCAAAACACCAATGGTAGTTATGAACGAAAACCTGAACCAGGTCAAGTAAAGGAATAATCTGGGAACCACTTGCCTATCATTTGATAGGGGGCACATTCGGAACAATTTTAGGTTGCATGGTGAGATTGCCGGTTCACAGAACACTTTTAATAACAGATACGTTACAGAACCAAGGGAATGAGCAGCTACCCTGGTTATCAGAACCGCCACATTCCAACCGCATAAAAAATATGTGGGAGGCCATTATTCGCCTAATCAAAGGCCTACATGTCCTACAACAAAACTGGACCAAAATGGACAATTTTTGACCGATGCCTGAAATGTCATTCCTGACTGAATTGTAAAAACCTATACCAAGGAATGCCTTGCCGCTTGAGAGAGCTGGTAACAGCCAGAAGAGGCAAGTCGTAACAGCGACCGTTACTGTGACTAGACACTGACATGAGGGTCCTTTGTGGAGCGTGTAACTCTTTTACAGACTATTTGGAAAGTATGGAGATCCAAAATATCTCTTTTAATGGATGTCGTATGACATAGAATAAACCATGTATTTCTGTTTGCTTCATTGTCGAATTCAATCAATGAATTGATATCATCATGACATCAAAGAGATAATTTAAAGTTATTAAAATACTATTTTAATCCTCACTTTCATTTATCAGTAGAGCAAAAAAAAAAAAAAAAAAAAAAAAAACAACTAATGAAAAATTATTTGGAAAAAAAATTCTATATTAACTGTCAATTCTGTAGTAATCATAGGGAAACGCTATTTTCCACAAAAAATTCTTCGCTAAATAGAGGTCAACAGCGTACGCCTCTACAACAAACCTTTGCCCGTTCAGCAGCATTTATGTGATTAGTCTCCTCTAGGTCTAGTATTTTCCCATTTAGCATTTTTCTTTCATTGTCATGTTCTTTTTTTTTTGCTAAGATGGTCGTAATTGGAATATCATTAAAACACATTTTATCATTCAAATAATTTCAATTCTACACATAACACCTAAGATTCATGCTATTATTTATTATTTTCTATTTTACTTTAAAATACGTTGAACGCAGGAAGTCTCATAGAAATATATCATATTGCATTTTATCACTCAAACGGCTGTTATTGTAGAAAAAGTAAAATCTGTGCTTGTCAGTTGGGCTTTTGATGCCTTTCTTCCCTGTCGTCAGGGCATGCGTTGTCAATGACGTTGGGGTGTCACGCTTAATCTCGCGTTCATTCGAGACTAAACCAATAAATGGCGGCATAAGAAAGCAGACGCATGATGCAATCCTCAGACGTAAGTTGCGAGTTATTGTACAGTGCGTTGTAAACGAAAAGTCCAGAACTGAACACATTGCCGTTTACTCCAGGAAAACCAATTTTTGGCCTAAACGAAGAGTTAAAGTATGAGTCCCCCCAAAATAAAATTACTTGCCACAAGCACGCGTTTCATTACATAAAAAATTTACTGCTTATCTACCGATTCGGTACGTTGCGTACGAGCCAAAGATCGTCGAGAATGCATTGCTGTTTAAATGCCCTTATTTATACAGCCAGAGACCTGGACAGATCGAGCCAAACTACGTGTGCATTGAAATGCTGAGTTTGCGACACATAATTCTGTGTTGGGGAGGTTAAACCGTGGCTGGAGTCGTAAATTCGCTCCCTAATTTAACACTGCCGTTACAAAACGGCAATAATCGTTTATGAGCGCTGTCTTAGAACCCATTCCCATAGATGTTAGATCGATCTATCCCTATGGGGAGTCTCACTAGATTACTGTCAGCTTAGCGGGCTTAAACGTCTGTCCCGCCTACTAAAAGCTATAAGGGGGTAATTAACTATGGTGCGCGCTCGGTTGACTGCAATTTAGCGTGAACCTCCAGGGAGTTAGGTCGATCTAATTCTAAATCTCTGGATCGATCTAAAGCTCTGGGAATGCACCTTTAGTGTGTAATTTTAACTCTAAAGAATGAGCTACTGCACTAAATTTATCTTAGCTCCAAGGAGACAGGAATATTGTCCCCAGTACTGATAAGTACATGTTCGGATAGTCGGAGAATAGGTGTTAGTACTGGTACAGGTAGATGGAATGAATGTCACCTGTACAAAGTAATGGGGAATGGAGTATGCTTCCTAGTTCTCTCGCATTCTTGTCACATCAGCATAAACGCAATCGATGTGCTCACTTAGAATTCTAATCATCAAGCTTACAAGCTATTTGATAAATTGTCAAATGTACAGACAAAAAGCATAAAATAAGAATGCACAAAATAGGCATTAGCAATTCTGATGCACAATACATTATGCTTAACTGAAAAGTCTAAATTCGACTCCTATGCAAAAATTTGAATGTGTTTGTGCATAGTTTATTTTCGAACATGTTCTGTATGTTAGTCCTATAAATCAGTCATTCAAATTTTATAGCGAATTATGACACGGTTATCATGGTGTATATATATATATATATATATATAACGGTGGATAAAATAGGCTGAAAAAAGCAAAAAACAAAAACAGCATAACTGTTGTAAAATAGTTTACTCATGTAGATTTTTTATCTCGACCTTTTGTTAGAAAGATGTAACACTCCTGTGAGTTTCAAGACAATAGGTCCATCAGTTGACCTTTTAAAAATGTGTTATCAGTGTTGCAAAATGTACAACTTTTTTTTTTAAATTGCCTGATTGTGATGATTTTCGAACTGCCATGAAGGGACCGATAACTCATTGCCGTTAAAAGCGTCGTTGGAGGCATACATGGCTTTGTGATGAAACAAGATATCTTCTTTGTAATGTATCTGGTATATATGTTATACGGTAAGAAAAGCATTTAGTTGGAAATATTATGTGATCAAGCTGATTTTCAAAGTTGACCTGTATTTTACTAATATCCATCAGTTAATTGCAATTTTAAAAACAATGCCCAGTATGTCAAATACTGTGTTAACGCTAATAGTGCACGGCGGTAAAGGTAGTTCCCAAAGTAGTTAACATAACTTATAAACATAATAATTTATAGACCTCAATCTAAAAAATTCGTAACCATAACCATAGTGCCTCATCTCATCAACATGGTAAATATTTCAAAAGCAAACTCTAAGGGCGCATTCCCAAAGATTTTAGATCGATCTATCCCCGTGGAGAGTCTCGCTAGATTAATGTCAGGTAATCCGGCTTAAATGTCCGACCAGCCTACTAAAAGCTGTAAGGGGGTAATTAACTTTCGTGCCGGCTCGGCTGACAGCTATTTAGCGTGAACCCCCAGGGAGTTTGGTCGATCTAGTTGGATCGATCTAATCTCTGGGAATGGGGTCTAAGTGTGAATTACATTACAACTGCTGTTCAATGGACACAGTAGTTCATATTTAACATGTACATACCACACACATTTGAAAAAATCCTGGCATATCGGACGAATCCAACCTCTCTCTCAGCACGTCTAATTTCATAGGCCCTATAGCTTGTTGCGAATAAGACTCCTTCAGTTGGGCCATATCTGCGTCCAGCTTTTCCTTTGTGTAGCCATCTGGTATTGGGTACAGGCGTTTTTTCAATTCATCCAGGAGTCTTTTGAACACCTTGTCACAGTAACGACGAGACCTGTCACGATTCTTCTGAATGTATCGGAACAGTTCCCCACCGACGATGTTGCTATTCTCTTGGCCTTGGCTATCTCTCTTGACTGTGGGGGAAATAAGAACAGTTTGAAATCATAAACATAAACGGGGGATTTCTGAAGGTGGACCAACAAACTGATAGCAGTTTAGTGTGCATCCATGTCTTCTTGCATTTTGCAAGTTTTCTAACTTCAAAAAACAAAATAAGCTAATATAGCAATATTATATACAAAAATATCAAAAAGGTACCATTAGCAATTTAAGATGCAACAAATAAATCAACGTATGTACACATTATCAAATTCTAGAGGCTAGGTTTCTGCTTTAAATGTGTTACAATGAAAATAATTTTGATTAAAGATAAGTTATGATTTTTATGTAAATGAGATAATTTTATGTGACCGTTGCCTTCCAGAGTTTCTCGTGTGAAACGGATTAAACATTGAATAAAGACATCGCCAAATTTGGAACTTGAGAGAAGTTCTTGATATGGGTCTGAAATCGCTCGTTGATAATTGATGGAGTGACCAAATCTTTTCATACTAAGTATTGACAGGAAAGATCACAGATAATGAATTAACCAAGAGGAACAAGGTGTTTTAAGCTTTAACCAGAAAGAGGAACAGATATAAAGAATAAAGAAAAAATTAAGAACAATTAGTGAAACTGTTGGAGAGATGGAAGATAAAGCAATTGAAAAAGGTATCTGACAATTTCAGCAGCAGGGTTAATGACAGAAACCCTGCCATCCCCAATTTACACAAGCAACGTGATGCTGCAGACAGTAATTCTCACTGCCAGCTATATAAATGTCAACAGACTTCATGGAATGTCAGTCAACGATCCACAAAGTCATGCAGTTCAGGCAATACCAGCACTCAAGTTTCTCCAGTGTTGCCGACACGGCAGGGATATACAGTATATAAGTGGTCACGAAACCGCCATGCGTTCAAGTGGACATTGCACACAAGAGAATGTAAGCACAGTAAGAGTTCACAAAGGCACCGAATAGTCACCAAATTCCAGAATTTTTAGCCATAACGCCATTACTATAATGATGGACAGCTGCAGCGAGTCAAGATATCAGTGGGGTAGCATCAACAAATCAACCAAGTAATGGGCAGTTAAACGCTTTTGTTCCACAAAAAATTGAGTTCACTCCCATTTCCAGGCGAAAATAACGAAAATGGGAAGGAGTGGGAGGAAAAGTACATTTAACATCGCAATATCTCAAATTCATAGGTAAAGTTTTCCTTTCACAAAAATTACATGTGACCAGTGACAAATTAAAAAAAAAAAAAAAAAAAAAAAAAAAAAAAAAAAAAAAAAAAAAAAA